TATGAGATACTTACAATGCATTAGCATTAGTCTTGAACTTTATTACTTCAGAAATGTGTTATAGCCTTGAACTTCATTACTTCAGAAATATGTCATTGATTAAATTGAATTTTTTTTTTAAGAAAATAAGCTGTTCAAATACTTGTGGTTTAAGATTAGTACATTTTGAAGTCATGATATTTCTGGTATCTAAAAAGAGACGTTCACTAGGTGTTGATATTGCAGGAATCGAAAGGTATTTGCGAGCAAGCTTGATAATTGTAGGAAACCTTTCTTGATTATTTTTTCACCAGTTAAAAGGATTATGCATTGGAGAAATTTCTGCTTGAGCAAGATAATCTATTACTTCATCTATTCGAGAATGATGTAGCTAAAATATTCGAGTAATAAGTGAGTTGTCACTTTTAGTTATTTGTTAAAATTCTTCATGATTAGATTGTAAGCTTGCAACCATATTTTTTAATATATTTATCATTTCTAATTTTTTATTTTCAGATACAAAATTAAGAGATTTATACCAGAGATCCAACAATGCTGCTAGCATGCCAACTTCAGAAAGAACTGAATAATAATAATGCAAGCTTTTATTTAAAGCAGTTTTGATTTATTTAATAAGTCTCACAATTTTGGGGTGTATTAATTCGAATTTGTCGAGTTCCATTGTTTATCTGATCTATTTCCTCATCTGCATCCTCATAAATAATATCATCATCAAATGCAGTTGTACTTGATTCAAAGTCGATCATTACTGAATTATTGTCAGTATCTAATGCAAGGTCAGAAGTTAAAATTGAAATTATATAAAACATAAAACTAATTGTTGAATAATTGCTTTCTTCTAAAAATTCTGTTGCATCAGCGAATGGTTTTAATACAGGAAGGAGCTCTTTAATAGTATCCCACTCGGCATTAGTTAAATTAATTTTTTTAAGCTATCTTACTTCTCATTTTGATTCACGATTAGTTTCTGTGTCAAGTATACTAATCATTACATTTATTGCAGATCATAACTTTATTAATATTTCCTATGCAAGATATAATGAGTTCCATCGAGTTTTTGTATTGACAATAAGCTGCAAATAGCGATCTGTTTTGCGTAATATCTAAAAAAAGTAATAGTATTATAATTAGTTAACTAATTAGTTAATAAATAAAATAATATATAAATAAATACCTCTGATTTTCAGGCATGTTTATTTTTAATTAAACTTGTTCTAACTTTTCACTTTGTTTTGGGCTCATAAAAAAATTAATCAACCTTCTAGCCTGAGCAACAAGTATTTCACAAGAAATAAGCCCTTTTTCAACTACAAGCTGTAAAGTGTATGTAGTATATAGTATTCGAGTTAATTCAGGTAAAAACTGTACTGCCTTAATCATGTTACTTCTATTATCGGTAGTAATACAAAAAATTTATTCATCCAAATTCTACTCATAAGTAATATCATCTACTATATTTGCAATAGACATACCCGTATGTGGATATGGTAAATATCTAAGAGCTAAAAGCAATTCGTTTAATTTAAAATTTTTATTCAAATACGAACAGGTAATTCCAATATATCCATTTTTTAACTGTGCCATCCACAAATCAATTGTTAATGAACCATAAAAAAGTGTTTCTGAAAGTTTATTTATAAGCTGTTGCTTTGTATGTGTGAATGCTTGTAACAACAAAATTTTTATAGCTTTTTTAGATGGAAGTTTATAATTAGGAACTGCTTTCTTCATTAATTTAATAAATCCATCATCTGTAATTACTGAAAGAGGTTGTTGATCCTTACATATAAAGGATATGATCTTATTATTCAAGATTTGCTTACGAATCAAATTTATTTGATTATGTTCAATATTTGATACATTATCAATGTTGTCTTTAGTAATACTATATACCGTTTTAAGGTGATACCAAAAATTACCTGTTGACTTTGCAGTATTGAGATTTACCTCTTTTCCACATCGTTCATATCCATTTTTACCAAGTACATTTACTTTACATCTTTCAACTTGTTTGATTTTGTCTTTTTAAAATAAAACCACACCTTACTTATCGAATTTTCTTCATCAGATATATCAGATTCATTGGAAGAAACCAAAGGTAAAGTATCAACTTTTCTTTTTTTCAAATTTTGAGAATTATTACCTGAGTTACTTTTGTGAATTTCGTCCATGGTTAACAAGAATAAGACAAAAAATTTTTTTTTATATTTAATTTTTTTACAATTAATTTTTTATTTTATATTTTATTTAATATATTAAACTTTTTTTAATTTATCTATTTGACTTTCATTATTATTATTATATCATCATTAATTAATTATCAGATAACCAGATAATCTGGTCTAATCATCTAAAATCAAAATTTATTCGAATAATTATGTCATATTCAAATTATCCAGATCGGTCAGATAAAAAGTTCTATCTCTAGTACAGTGCATCTCGATAAAATGAAATAAGCTACGTATATATCAATTTTTGCCACATACGTATCCAAAATAAACTATCATTTTTGGCCGAATAACCAAAATAAACTATCAATTTTTGCCAAATACGTAACCAAAATAAACTATCAATTTTTACCAAATAACCAAAATAAACTTTTT